ACCGAGCAAGATGTTTGATCTTCCGGAAGCTGTGAAGTGCAAAATTACGTCAGGGTTTGTTGCGTGCGCAAGAGCCGCTGCAGAAGCCAGTATTTTTCTTTAGCCCGGGGCATGAGGGGGAAAGAGTGACGGGATGTAAACGCTGCTTTTTCCCCGTTCAAAATGGAAAGTATATAAGTAGCGCTGCGTTCCTGCAGTTTGGGAGGGCCTCTTTTTCTCCTTACCTTCCACCCCTCCCCCCCCTGTCCCCCGTCCCACCAATGAATTTCAATTTAGGCGAGAAATTAAAGTTTTGAGTTTGCGCGGAGCACTGCCTTCCCTTGCGTCACGTGTTCCTGGTGATCACCCTTCTGGCGCTTTCGTTTCGCTGCCTTCTCTCCCGTTGTTTTTCCCCAAGTGCTTGGGGAATGCCTCGGTGCTGCGAAGCAGCTGGCCGAGAAGGCGTTGGCTCCAGCCGAGGAGCGGTGCCCTGGGGCACACAGAGATCTGAATGCTAAAATGTTGCAGGTAAAGTAGACGCGTACAGATCCCCAGCAATGATATCCGTGGCGGCCCGTTCAGTGCTGACGGCGAGCTGCAGTCGCAGCATCTACGCAAAGCCAGCTGCTGGTGGCCTACTCGGCGCCATTGCTCGACGATTCAAGTTCGTTTTTCCTGCACTACTGATAGTGATAACAGTGCCCGGAATCCCTGGTAGACATACAGATGATCGATGATCCTCTGGCCCTCACCACACAGAGCCCGAGCACTGCTACTGTGAGAGGTGCGGGAAAATACAGTGCTTCTGGAGGCATCAGCTGACCCGCGATTCTTTGATGCATAAAATCAGCGCTCATTTGACGATTATAACAGGCAAAGTTTAACGCCTGTACCCATTAGTGCCTGTTGAAAGCCGACATTGAAAATACCCGAGCAGCCTGCGATATTGCAAGTTTTATCCAAAAAAATCCGTGTTGGGTTTTTCCTTTTTTTTTGGTTTTTACTGGAAAATATTGTTGCAGGACGGATGGCGTTAAGGGAGCTGTGATTGGCATCGATCTCGGTACGACGAACTCGTGCGTCGCTGTGATGGAAGGGAAACAGGCCAGGGCAAGTTCTTGCTCTCTCCTTGCATCATTCCATTTCAAAATTTGTGTCTTCAGGGAACAACTCATTGGCCAGGCAATTTGCAGGTAATCGAAAATTCCGAAGGTGTACGGACAACGCCATCGGTTGTGGCGTTCACGAAGGATGGCGAAAGATTGGTTGGTGCGCCTGCGAAACGACAGGCTGTAACAAACTCGCAGAATACACTGTACGCAACCAAACGATTGATTGGACGACGATTCGATGATCCGGAAGTGCAGAAGGATGTGTAAGTTCTCTAGCCATAGCACAAAAGCGTTTGATTTTTTTTTTTTTTTTTTCGTCCTGTAATCTCTATACGAGAACATTCGCTACAGCACTTCCGGGCAGTGCGCGAAAATTTGGCAGACTAGAAAAAACCGTACAGCGTTCTCATTAATTTCTGCATCAGTACAGGCCATGGCAAATTATCGATCCCTTTATATTTGATACAACTCAACTTCGTAATCCCATGAAACTCCATCGTCCACTGATATGCCGATTCAGCGCTCAAGAGCTGGGGATGGGACTGCTGTATGACTGCAAAAAATTGGCCTGTACTGGTTCCAGACTGATCGGCCACTGCTCTCTGCTATTACAGTGAAATAATTTTTAAAAGCGTGCCTGTTGAGGCTTAGAAGCTGCTTTCCGAAAATTGCTTCACCCATTTCTCCACTTTAATTTTGATAAATGTGTGAGGGCTATAACTCTGTTGTAGGAGCTTTTTGTACATTGTAAATACTAAAAGAGGAAAAGCCATAGAAGTCCAGCCAAAATTGTTTGTTCCAAACAGGACCGACGGGGAAATCGAAGCTGTGAAGTGGTAATTTGCGGTCGTAGGTTGGCCCAAACATACCACATAAAATAAAGGACTATATCAAAAAAACTAAAAGAAATTGAGCACGGCTGAATTCCATATGTTCTAAAGCTGGAAGAATAAAATTTGATAATGAATGGTGGTGGTGGTGGTGGGGAAAACAGTTGGCGTATTAATGTGGTACGAACCTTTTGACAGGTTGAATGATCATGTACTTGGAATATGTAGGATGGTTTGTCTGTCTTTCATCCCTTAACTGTAAACATGGGCAGTGCAAGATGTGGTTAGGAGTGGGAATCGTCAGTACAACCCCCTCACCACATCTGAAAACATAAATACCGTGGTATTTAGAATGATACATCAGTAAGAAAAAGGAAGTCTCGACCGTTTTGATAAAATGTAGGACATTTCTGTATGTAACAAATAATTTTACAGTGAGAAATGGAGCGCAAGCGAGATAAAATTTTTTATTATTTCCAACTACTGCATGACAAGGCGAGGGAGAGGGTGTTGTGGAACGCGTTTACAGTTGTGGATTCTTTGAATTCAGGGAGCAGCCCGGGGTTAGCTACCTGGAAAAGCGTGCATGCGCGT